AAAAACCTCACTGCCTTATCATTAAAAAAATATATTTACAAGTACAGCTTTAATGGGATTTATATAATAATGATAATAATGTTAAAATTAATAATGCTAATTTATTGTAAACATTTTGAATGTTGGTCTGTGAAACGGGCATTTCTCACCCGCTTTTTGGCATGCGTGAAAAGTAGTCCCACGTGCTGCCCACAAAGCTAGCCAGAAGTCACACAGCAACACAAACTGCCAATAAATAAATATATATGAAGCTTGAACGGGTGGATGAGTTGGCTGTTGACTCTTTCAGCTTAATTATAAGTTTTGAGTTCAAGTCCTGAGAATACAGCTCTGTTAAAATTCATGAGGGAGAACTTTGCCGCCCATTGGATCCTACCCAGCTTGAATCCGGATTAGTCAGTGGTCCAATGGACTTCTAGATACCGGATGGTCATACAAAAAATATATATATGGGCTAATATTTGTTTGTTATATTTTTAAAAAATGAAGAAAAAAATGATAAAAATTATCTTAACATATGCTTTAAAAATAAAATAATTTAATTTTTTTAATAAAAATTTATTAAAATGACATGATTTTAAGATAATTTTTTTTTTAATCTTTAAGAGATAAACCTGATAAGCATTATTTCTTTTATATATATATATATATTACCGACATAGGAGTAAATATTTATTTTTCCTTAAAGTTGACTGGAGCGACCCTGTGTTTTTTCTAATAACATACAACAAGCAGTATCTTTCTGTTTTTAATAAATAAAGAGGTCACATTGATGCAGACTGACAAAATTGCATCACAAGCAACCATGCGGTCCATGACAACTTTATATATATAATTCTTCATATCAAGTCGAAATTAATCTTTTTAATATCATGATCATTAGTTATATACTTTGAGATTTGGGATAGGATAATAAGAAATTAATTAACAAGATTTTGGTAACCAAGTGTCCAAACTCTTGTCAAGTAACATATTATAATTGTTATATCTACTGATAAGTATTTTTAAAAAAAAAATATCATACTGATATGAAAGTATGTGTTTAAAATTATTTAAAAATTTTAATCTTTAAATATTTAAAAGTTGGTTTAAATATATTCTAACTATTAAATACTAAACAGTAACATATTGTTGAATCGTTAGACAAATAAATATAGTGTAATTGTTATAGAAAGACTTTTTTTTTTTAATTAGTATAAATATTTTATTCCATGAATATAAGGAATACCTAACCCCATTACAATCTTTAACTTGCATTCTACTTGTGTGTAACTCAACCAAAACTATTCTAAAGCATTATTTTCTTCATTAAACATTGAAATCTCCTAGGCAGTGATATGAAAAGACTCTTTGTTTATCCATGCATACTTAAATTACAAGTAAAGTGACCATTTCTCAACTGCGATTTGATATGTAGTTGTAGGAGCTTAGATTTCAACCCTATTTTCAAAAGAAGAAGATTGTCAACATGACTTTCCTTTCCTCTAACACAAGCATGCGAAACGCCAGTAGGGAAAAGCCGTGTGGAAATTTTTGTTGCAGATAACAAAAGCAAAAGGAATTGACTTTCACCAATGGAAACCACTTGATGCTTCCACATACTGTAGGTGTTGTCGGCATCATTGGCTGTTCTTCATATTCTTCATACAGGGCGCACTCTTTTCACACTCAAGAACATTTATTTAAAGAGAAGATGGAATGAGTATATATTTTTCCATGTGTGTTTACACAATAGACGTTTTGTGTTCATATGCATTTTTGTGCCTCGTGCCTCATTTTAATTTGTTTGGTACTATAACACGATGATTAAGATACAAATCACACCAAATAAATTTTTCTTTATTAGTTGTCTTGTTTCATCTTCAATGGTAGAGTAATTTTTTAAAAATGACAAAAAAAAAAAACTATATAATCCAGATTGTATACCTTAAATCATTAAACATATATGTTTAATAATTCATGTTTTACAGTTTGAATAACAAAATAAGATACTATTAAAAAAATTAAGTCAAATATACGCAACCTATATCAGCCAAAAGAAAAAAGATTGATATTGATACAAATTTCATGATAATATATGCATGATAGAGACGTTTATCTAGATGGGTTTTTTTTTTTTTTATAAGGGTGATTTGCTTTATGAAAAGCAAGGGCTAACTATAGCATATATATGGAGATCTTGATCAAGATTCAAAAAGGATGATAGTCCATGTATATATTTATATAAAGATATGGTACAATGAATGATATATGATGAGCAATAACAAAGTCAAATGGGTATATTTTCTTTTCTAAACTTTAAGTCGATGGGAGATTAACATTCTTCCACTTTGTCCCCCTCGCCTTCTCTCTTTTGGTTTTTGTTTGCTTTATTTCTTCATGTTCTTCCAGCCATATGGGTGGAGGTTTCCATCTCCTTTTTTCATGAGCCATTGCTTTTCTCATAGGAAAGGAATAATGCCAGTGCTTCCCTCAACCCTTTTTGGACCCCATATCGGTCCAATCATGTGGCCCCATCCTGTCTGGGCCAGGCCGACTCCCTCTAAAAACAACCCATTGTTGCGTGATTCGATGGAGTGCTGACGTGGCATTGCTTTGAGAGAATGGTGTTGTTGAAGTGGAAACCTGGCCCCACATGTCATGTGGGGCCAGGTCAGCCACTTTGCTTTTTTGGCACAACTTGTTACTACCATTATTATTTTTGTATTGTTATTGTGGTACAACTTTTCTTTTTGGTTTTAACATCATTTCACTCCCCCCATGCTCTGTTCTTCTCACCGTAAAGCTTTTTACCTACAAATGGATAAAGATGCCTCTGTTGCTTCTTTGGTGGTTAGGGGTTGCTGCTCAAGCAAAACAATGGTCCATAGGCAAGTCCCTTTTGGTGGTTTTGATTCTGCTGATTCCTTTTTTTTTTTTCTTTGTTATTAAATCTTCATTGATTAAACTATCTCATGTGCTGATAAAAGAAAAAACGAAAAATGGTCTCATGTAAAATGATGTTAAGTTTCAATCCCTAATATAAAACAAGATAATCCCAAAAGGGAACTCCATTTGAGAATTGAGATGACTCTATGGTATGTTAAGTAAGGTTTTTAGGGTATTTAGTTTTGAATTTGTTTGAAATTATGAAGAAATGATCCGAAATGGGAGGAAGAGGGACCCCTGAGGCAAACATTTAAATAGACTGTACCCATCAGTCCTCTCTGCTTGGCCAGATTTCAGTTGATTTTGGACCACTTGAAATCATCCTATTTCCATGAAAGTCTAAGAACCCCAGTTGCCTGTTTTTCTCCAACAGTTCCTTTCTGCTTTTCCTACAAAATTCAATTGCTTATAAACAAATTCTGTTTTTTTTTTTCTTAATTTTTTCACTTTGGTAGGTATAATTTGATTAGCCTCATGTCTAACATTTTTCCTTTCCCCTTTCATTCTGAATCATACTTTTTGAAACCCATTTGATGGAAAATTTTCAAATCAGTGGACTTTACTTATCTTTTGATCTAATATGTCTTCTAATGAAGAGATTATGTAAACTCAATTTCCCTTTGCACCAGATTAAAAATGGGCGGGAAGTTGCATTTTGCAGGTTGATTGATGGGATGACCATAAAAGAAGAGGGGAATATGAGATTGATTGACTAGAAAATTTGGTTTTCAAAGGAAATGAATGGAAATGTGACAATATACTCGTTGAGCATGCACAAGCTCAATAATGCTTATCCGGTCTCTCATGCTCTCCTCCTCTATTTTGTAGTAAAGTGAGGACTACTGTTTCATAATTAGGTTGTAGCCATCAAGACATTAGAAATTAGACATTAGACTTAATGGATCATAAGATAAGTCTTTTGATGGGGTGACCCCTTACCTAACAATTACACATATAAATCAAATATATGCTGTTTGAAATAGAGATCATGGAGGTCTTCAATTTGGTGGTTAAGATTTATTCCTTCTTTTTTGGTTTTAATGAATTTGGTCACTTTCACCATGAAGGACATCATGATAAACCTCGTAAGAGTAGGCAAAATTGTTTCCTGAGACCAAACTGGTTCACACTCTAAATCAAACCCATATCTGAACAGTTTATGCTGCTTCAAAAGTCATTAGCAGCATAACGAAACAAACATGTAGGTCACTCACTCTCTTATACGGGTGTTAAGGGGAAAAGTTTGTCTCCTTAATAGAATTTTATAACTAGATTATTGCAAGTTTCACCAGACGCAGCTAAATATGTAGAATTTTGTAATGGTATCCAGAAAGTAATTTATGTCTCTTTCTTTCCAAATAAAGATGGTTGGACTCAAGACTAAATTTTTATCCAAATGTTACAAAAGGAAAGAAAGAAAGAAAAAAGAACAAATAAATACAGGCAAGGAACTGAAGCTTGAGATTTAAGAATGTGTTTCTTTGAAACATCTTACCAAATTTTAGGCTTTTTACATGCCGTAATTCAAGTGAAATGGTTGGAGAAACTTGGTCCATGATGTGTTGTAAGCTCAATAGTGGATGATTTTAATTCCCCAGAATTGATTAGTTACCAACTAATTATACAGTGCTTTAAAAGCAAAAAAACGTGGGCAACTCTAGGGGACCAAGGGACTGAGTTTATGACCACTAGCCTTTTTGTTAACGTTACTGATTGACTATTAATTTTATTTATAATTTTATTAATTTTAAAAATTTTTAAATAGTTAATTATGATATTTAAAAATATTTATTTATAAAATAACTAATATTAATTATTTTTCTCAATTTTAATTATTTTTAATAATTAAATTAAATGAACATTTTAATAATTTTAATATTCTTAACAAAAAAAATACAATGATAGCCATAGCCATAAAGTTTCATTAGATGGTGATTTATTTCTCACTTTTCACTATCAATCAATCCACATCCCTTCTGCTAAATTCTTCACTGATGAGCTGAGCTTTATTTATGACCTGATACCGAACTAAAGAAATTACTTCTTCAGAGTTAAAAATGAAATTTAGTTTTCCAGGGCAAAGAGTGGTCTCCAATTCAATGGAAGGGTTAATAAAAGCAAGACAACACTCTAGAACCCAACCTTTGGCGTTGGCCCAAAAATAAAAGGAGGATTATAATGCCAGGTTAAGAAGTTTAAACAGGGACATGGGGAAATATAAAATGAAATAAAACAATAGTTATCCTTGAAACATCACTCTATAAAATAATATAACACAGCTGCTCTTTCATTGCATTGATATGGAACTGCTAATGCTAATTTTACCAGCAGGAACTGTAACTTCTAAGAAAATAAAAAGATTAAACAAACATAATTGAAAATCATATGATCGGAAAGGGAACAACAACTTAGACCAACAAAAAACCATACTGTGTCCCTTTTGATCAATGCTCAAAAACTATCATCAGATTTTGAGTTGTTCTAAGCTCTGTACTGTCTCAAATTCTCGCAGATTCTCTTCAGGTGTAGTTGCAGCTTCTTTTACTTGAGCAGGTGATTGAGTAGCTTCCTCTACTTCGGTGGGTGATTGAGCAAACAGTGCAGGGGAAGGGGAAGTCATTGTCGGGGTATCTTCTTTTCTAACGTTCAAACCATCTGCCTTTCTAACAGGTGGAGCTGAAAATACGGGAACTGCCTGCCTGATGGTGACAGGTGGAGCAATTGGTACACATGGGGCTTGAATCACTTTGGGGGTAAGTGTTGATGGTGTTGGCTGTGATGGATGCAGAGAATGAGTTTGCACGGCAGGGTGTTCAGATGCAGGTGGCTTAGGGGAAACAACAGAAGGTTGTGGGCGTGGAGGAGCAGAGAAAACAGGCACTGTAGTTCTTATTGTCACAGGGGGTGCCATGCCTTGGCAAGGTGTCCTGTATTGTCTGATGGGAACATAAGGAGCAGCTCCTGCTGCAGGGAATCTATGAGGATGAATACCACGGACATCTGGTACAGGTGCTTGTGATGGCATAGGCTTGTCATTCATTGTTGTTAACATGGATCTGTTGCGAGGCACTGCCTTAGGGCAGATTAACGGAAGGATTTTTGATGTGGTAGCTGGGGGAGGTTGTGGACTCGTTGGTCTTGGATTCTGGAACTTCCTTGTAAATGGTATTGGAGCATTGGACCAGTTTGACATGGCCATCTCCATTTTGTAATTCTGTAGGGCCCGGGCTATTGTAATCTGTTCTAGCTCATCATTGTTATCTCGCTCAGAAGACGAACTTGCAGCTTCTTTTGCCACTGGAAAGCAAAGATATTATTTATTTCAGTCAGAAAGTCCAACACTTTATGAAAATCATAGAAACAAGGAGTATGCAGTTAACCAAAGAGTCCAAGTAAAATAAGTAACATCAAAGTCAAAGTTGTAACTTGTACATTGTATAAGATCCATCTTTCAAGAAGTAATGAATTAAGGATATAAAATTGTATGCTGAAATTTTCATTGGTCCTGCCTCGGTGGTTCCATTTGAGAGAAGAATTTCTAGTCAGTTAGGCAATATGTCTATACCATGCATATCCATCAAAAAGCAGCCCAATACAGGAACTGGTCCTGCCTTGGTGGTGCCATTTACTTTCTTAATAGGTGCATTAGAAATTCATGATTTAGCAAGTAGAAGACACAAACATTTTATCCTACTATTTTTTTATATATATACATATATATTTAAAAAAAGGACTCACATTGTTTTAAAGAATTCCAGGCTGCCATGGCTGCATTCTTCTCTGCTTGCTTCTTATTTTTAGCAGGTTCACCAGTGAAAGTGATTCCAGCCAACTCTACTGTCCCCGTAAAAACAGGTAGGTGCCCAAGGCCTGATCTAAATGTTGTGTACTGTGGTAATGGAGCTCCAACTCTCTGTGCAATTTCTTGTAAAAGGTTTTTATAAACCCCTGTCTCATCCTGACCACAGAAAAGCACAATCAGTACTAAAGCAGCAACAAATAACCTTAAGACATTTAAGCCAAAAATATATATATATATATATATATATATGGCACACTCATGCAGTAACTTGGATCAATTAATTTCTAAATTCTATGAAAGCAGCAGAAAGCCAAGCTGGATGACAATAGCACATTTTATGCGTTAACATGAAGAAAATAGCACAAAAATTAGCCTCAGAGGCATGCAAGAGACAACTAAATTTACAAACTACTAGACATCTATCGAATTGCACCCTAAAGATGGAAGCAATAAGTCATAGATAAATATCTAAATCAACATCTTGGTAATTCTACAGACATTCATTAGCAAATGTAATTGTTTATATGTATAATTAAATATCTAATTGTGCTTAATTTGGGGTGAATAATTTAGCCACCATTCGTACATTTCTCAATCTCCAGAACACAGATCAGTATTAATCCTCAAGCTTTGATCAACATCAAGACCAAAAGGAAAGGTGACTCTAAAGAGAGGAACTTTCTTAATCAACCAAATCAAGGAGCCATAATGTCAAAAATCACACCCCAGTCGAGAAATAAGCGTTAACTCCACTAATACATTTTCAATATTGTTTATCCATTTCAGAGTCTGAAGTAAGCCAGCCCAACAAACAAATGCTCAGGATTGAATAACATAAGATGAAGAGGATAATTTCAAACTGTATATTAAATGCCTAACAACCTCAAGTAATGGTCAATATCAGAGTGGATTAGTCTCCTACGCCATGAACAAAATTTCAAAATTAAAATTTGGTATTCTACAAGCATTAAAGCCTTATTTAATTTTCAATGCACATTTTATTTTTTGCCAATGTTTAAAGGTTGATTTTTTCATTTTTTGGGGAGGTTTCCACCAGGAAATATTTATCACCATGCTTAGACTTGGTTGAATTCTAAGAGGAAAAAAAATAGTTCTTCCAAGAAAATCATGATAACAGGAGTCAATGGTGATCATAAAGAAAATTTTTTAATTTTTCTGACCAAAATGCCCCTATCAGACAATTGAATTCCATTAGCATACCCAACTGGCCATGGTACAGCTGTTTCCCAGGAGCAGAAAGCCTGGTTGGGGGTTCAAGGTAACGCCTTTCTCTCACAGAAACTTCCCCCATTTCCCTAAATTATTAATTAGTTTCAGTGTGGTTCAGAAAAGTCAATAAAATCCTACTGCTCTGTTTAATCCGAACACCACCGGGGGCGTTCCAAGTCATTTCACACTCTATCCAGGTCCGGAACTCAACTCCGGCCACGACTACCATGAATCACCGGCGATCATGGCTACCTAACCTACGGCAAAGCTGTGAGCATCATAAGCCGATCTTCCAGACGGCGCATCATGGCACACTTCTCCTCACTTTATCCCGACTAGAAGCGCAGAACGCGCAGGACTCACATTAGCGAAGTATGAGCCGGAAGAAAAGGGGGAGAACAAGCAGAATTCCAAAAGCATGGAATTTGAAAAGTAAATAGTTTTCGTGGGAAATGGAGATGTTTCTGGAAAAATCTGGTTACTTACGAGGATCCTGGCGGCGAGGGAGTGTGATAGACCACGATTGGATAAGGAGTTAAGGGCGACCTCAGCGGCAGAGTGCTCAGCCTGGCGGAGGGTGGAGCAGTAATGAGGACTCTCAAAAGTCTCGCCGTTGAAATTGACAGTAGCCTTGAACCGCGGCGCGTGGTCCGGACCTTCCCTAATGCAGGTATAGGACGGCAAATTAAAGCAGCTCCTCTGCGCCAGCTCCTGCAGCTGGTTCTTATACATTTCTCCTCCGCCCTCTCGTATTCTCACACCTCAAACTCTCCTTCCTCCGTCAATCTAAAAGGGTGGTTTAAAGCTAAAAGGAACTTCAAATGGAGATCAGACCCAGATCGGGCAGGATGAGAGGAGAAATGGGTAAGGAAAAATCAAGGTTTTTTAGGGTTTTTGCATTTGGATTGGATGAAGAGGAAGAGGAAGAGGAATAGAGGAGAAGAGGAGAAGAGGAAAGGAGAAGAAGGAGAGAGAGAAAGGTGAAGTAGGGAAAGGGGAAGAGAGAGGTTTTGGGAGTATTTTAATGTGAATTTATTATTTCTTTTTATCGCTGGGGAGTCAACTGAACGTTAGGCTGCATGGATGTGATCTTTTTTCCTGCGCTAGATTTTCTACATATTTTTTTCTCCTTGTGTATTTAATATTTTGTCTTTATTCATTTCCTTTTTAAACGTAACTTTGTCTTTCTTTCTTTTGTTTTTTTGGGTAAAAATTGTTGTTCTTTTTACTGTACTTACCTTCTAATTTGGTGACTAATTTTGACGCGGTAAGCTTTCCACTTATATATATACACAAAATATAATTATTATATTTTTATATTAATTAATGTTAAAAGAATAAAATAAAATTTTTATTTAATTTGACGCGGTAAGCTTTCCACTTATATATATACACAAAATATAATTATTGTATTTTTTATATTAATTAATTAATATTAAAAGAATAGCACTTGCACTCTCGATTTATTAACGTTAGATCACGTATAAGAGCATTTTTTATTTTAAGACAACCGTTTGAATTTGTGACTTTGAAAATTTATTAAAAAAAAATGTTA